ATAAATAATAAAAATTACCATCTCTTATAAGGAAAAGCATCAGACTTTTAAAAGCACTGAGCCACCCAGAGCTGTTTAGTGGGATTTCCAAAATTCCTCCGTTCCACAGCTACCACTGGTTTCAGAGGAAGCTGAATGCTTAGGTTTTTGTTTTTAGAAAAGCAGCTATCTAAATCCTTAGATGTCTAAATACCTTTAAAACTGTGGCCCTAAGAAATCACAATTCCATTTTAAGCCAAAGGGAACTGCAAGTTACTGAACAAAATTTCAAACCAGCTGTAATTTAATTGCCCAGATATGGTGTCAGGAGCCTTAACTTACCCTACTTATTATACCTAGAAACTTTGGCCTGTGTGAATTGTCCAAATACGGTCCTGTTTTTTCAGGCCCGCAAATTTCAACGTTTTAAAAATTTCATTCTAAAAAAAAAAAAAATCTGTTTTTACCCTGAAACAGGAGGTGCCTCAGAGCGGTTGGGTAAAAACCACCACTATTTTAAAAAAGAAAAGCAAAAAGAAAAAGCAACATTTGGGGGCTTCAGAATGGAACTAAGAAATATTTCCCCTTGGTTTTTTTCAAAATTGTTATTTTGTGAAGCCCTTCTTTTAACTGTAGTTGTGGGTGTTCAGCTTAGGCAAAGCCAAAGCATTCATCTCTGGTTGTGCTACTGTCTAGTGGGGACACTTATGTAATACAAACATGGTATCTTTTCCCTTTCCCCCTCATCCTCAAAGTCCACCAACATGTGACACAAGCAGCTACTACCAGCTGCACCCCAGCCATCCCCCTTGGGCCTGGGGATTCTCAGCTGGTCCCACAGATGAATGTGCTTCCCTTACCCCCAATCCCCTCCTGATGGAAGGGCAGGTGGAAGCCTAGGAAAGAGCTGTGCAGTATCTAAGAGTAGCTAACTCTGCATAGGGAAATGGTGGAGCAGAGGGATGCCAAACCAATTTGAAAAGGAAGGGGTGAAGATGGAGTACAACAGGCCCAGCAGCTTAAGAACAGCTCCATCCCCAGCTCACCCACACCTTTTGTGAAAACCTTGCCAGCACAGCAGTTTCCTTGCCCTTCCTCTGCCTGAAGTCCCTAGTCAGCTCCTGGAAAGCAATCCTCCTGCTGGTCCTAGACCTCTCTATTCCCAGTAAAAGGGAGGGGCAGATGGCTGGGCACTGCAAGCTGGCATTTGTCCATACCTGAGAAGGCATCCCACCCACATTCAGACTATACCACACTGCATTTTCCTTACAGACTGTGCAGCCGGGAAAACTTCTAACCATTCTGCCCTAGACCTTGATCCTGTCTTCCTGCTGGCTAGATTTTCCCTTGGCAGATTTTCCTGGCCTTTGTTTTGCCTAGATTTTAAAACAACCCCCAAGGCGCGACTTCCCCACTTCTTTTGGGGGGTATGGTGTAGTCAAACACACTCCAGCCTTACATCCTATTTTTCCCCATGGAGTGATGCTGTAGAGAGGCTGTCCTGACAAACAGATATTCAAAAGGAAAGCAGAGGTGAGAAACATGGTACAGTCCCGAAGCGCAATCTCTCCTTACCAGAACAGAACAAACTCAACTGGAAAACCAATGCTGGGTGATTCCAACTTGCCAGTCAGGTTTCATAGAATGACACAAGCTACAATGTGTAAAATAAAGCGCACAGAAACATGCATACTGCATGGTCACTGCTTACTAGTGTTTAAATTATAGCACTTTAAATACAGAAGAAATTTGCAAGAATTCATGCTCCTTACCAATGCAACATATATATACCCTTCCTATGTTGAGAAGGCCATGCCTGCTGTTACACTGAAAATAACACTTGGCTGCTGTAGTTTTGCTGCTTTGTTTTCAGGTAGCAATTCTTTTTAGTTAGGCCGTGGGTTTTTAGGCATTAAAAAAATACTCTTAATTGTGCAAAGAAATGATTAGCCATGAATTTCAGGGCTATTTCTCTTATTCGCTTTCTAAGATGTTACAAATGTGCTTGATCAAAACTTCTCTTAGTCATTTCTTTAAACTCCCAAAATAAATATGGACAATGTGATGGGCTAAATTTTGCGATGAGAAGATCCATGACTTTCCTGGTGTTGTCCCTGGTGCGAATCTACACAGTGTTTGCTACCATGGCTATGGGAATCAAAGCATCATTTGAGAAGGACCAGGTTCCTGAGATTCAGGAGAATGTAGTATTACAAAACATAAACAGGTGCTGGGAAAGATAATGTACAATGTGTTGTACAATTAATAGAATCCAAACTACATGAAAACTCCAGATATAGTGGAATACTTAAGAGCTCAGTTTACGGGAATTCAGTGGACAGCGAGACAACAGAATCGGCACACAGTGGCAGTTCATGACACAGGGATGGTGGGATATGAAGGGCTGGTTGGGAATCCTACTAGATAATTAAGAATTGTTGCCCATTTATCAAGTCTGCTGTTAAAACAAAAATGCCAGCAGTTAATCTATAAGCCATCGATGACTACAAAGTTAAAAAAAAAAAGTCAAGTAAAAGTTTTGCAACAAAAAGAAAATAAAGTTAACTGAACTAAAGGAATTAATATTTCTCCCAAATCCCATCTTTTCCTTCTGGTAGTTGGTGGTCAATGATTCACAGCTTGCATCTGGAAACAAATGTTGCTTTATTTAATAACTACACTCTCATCAGCCCATGGGCAACAGTCAGAGCATTGACAAAGAGCACTTCTGATAGGAGACTTAATACCAGCTCACCAGACAAAAATTTCAAACAGGATTATTGTCTAATTAGGCTGCTGCACAAATATTGCTACACATAATGTGGAAAAAAACAAACAAACTTACCTTTGCTGACCTCTGGCTTTAGGAAGGATATATTGGGATAAACGCTGTAGAAGGTCTCTGATTTTTTTAATGATTTATTTTTTGTGGTTGCCCTTTTATAGAATCAGCATCCAATGCTCAATGTGATCAAGAGTCTCTAAGATTTTTTAGCTAGTTACAAATGCAGGAAATTCTCATTGAATGCCTAAGAAGTCAAACAAGAAAGTCAAGCAAACCAAGAGGGTATCTTCCACTTGGCTACTCAGTGAAAAACTCCCAATCTCTCACACCTCTGGCAAGAAGCCTGTGTGTTGTTCTCCAAAGAAAGTGCAGACCTTTTGATTTATTTAATGCTCAGTTGTTCTGAGGAGCTTTAAGATTGTTCCCATGTGACACTTAAGAAAGACAAGAGATTTGAAATGGATTAGGATTACTAAAAGGGATTATGAATAGAAAATCTAGTATGCTGGCCTCACACACATTTTAACAGACAAACCAGCTCTTGTATGCATGCCAGCTGTCCTTGGTTACATGCAAATTTCCTCAGAAAAAGTGTTCCCACTGATTTGGATCTTTGGGTAGAAAGGTCTCTTATACATTTAACTTGGGTGGGAAGGGAGAGAAGGGGAGAGGCGCACCTGTGTCGTACAGATATAGAAGGCTGTGGGGTGAGAGGATTTCATTAAATTGGCTGAATTAAAATGCAAGAGAAAGGTATGCTCCACACCAAGTACAGGTACAGATAAGATGTTATCTACCCTTCTCTTGGTTCAAAATGGTACAGTAGCTATTTGCAGAGGTCCCTCCCCACACAGAACACAGCTTTATTCACTGGAAGAGTGGTAATTTCCTCATTTGATTGGGGAAAGATGTGCTTCTTATAGAATATAACACTTATAAGCTAAAATGAATCCCGACTGATTTACGTTTGCACCCCACCTAAATCCTGGATTCATAAACAAGCTACTTCCTCCATCCCTACATGTGGCAGGTGTATAGAATTCATTTTCCCTGTAGATGCAAACATCCTAACTGATTTTTCCTGGTGGCGATCCCACGCTTAGGAAAAGTAATGAAAACTCTTCCTGAAGAAACTCTTAAGTCACATCACACAAGCAGCAGAAAACTTTGGTGGTTCTGGGTCTCACCTCTCCATAGAAAAAGGGAAAGCAAATCTTAATTAAAGTTAAGTGTTTCTGCACATACCATCTATAGCAGTTAGTCTGTAGATGGACAACCTTGGGGAGGTTTAATTCATTATTATTCAATGTTAAAAGATTGCTGTTGGATGTTTATGGAAGCATTTGCAACTCCTACTAGTTAGCTATAAATTATAGCATGAAAGATAAATGATCCAAAAACTCATAGCAGTTGTATTCTACTTTGTCACCCAGTCACCATTTAAAAAAATGGGCTGGGCCCACACAA